ATTGCAATTGCAGGGTGTCTACCTGTGGGAAACAGAGACGGAAGCACGAGAGTCCAAAGAAACTGCTGCCGAGCATTTCCTCATATCTGCAAGATTGAACCCTCAAAATGCAGCAGCTTTCAAATATTTGGGCCATTATTACGCCAAGTTTTGTCTCGACGTGCAAAGAGCTCTCAAGTGTTACCAAAGAGCTGTCTCCCTCAATCCTGATGATTCTGATGCCGGGGTATTTTTCTTCTTCTTCTTCTTCTTCTTCTTATCATTAAACCTATCTATCCATCTATATTTATTGTATTCAGTAGTAATTTCTTAGGAAAATAAAAAAATAAAAGTGCAGGAAGCTTTTTGTGAATTGCTGGACCAAGGAGGGAAGGAGAGCTTGGAGCTGGCAGTTTGTAAGGATGCTTCTGAGAAGTCTCCCAGGGCTTTCTGGGCTTTCCGGAGAATGGGTTTCCTCCAGGTTTTCTTTTCTTTTTCCTTTTTCTCCTTTATTTCCTTTTTGTGTTTGGTTGCAATATACAAAACTTATTTGTGTGACAATGAGCAGATCCATCAAAACAAATGGTCTGAAGCTGTGCAGAGTCTTCAACATGCCATTCGAGGCTATCCCACCTCTGCTGATATGTGGGAAGTGAGACAATTTGCTCCTCTTCTCATTCTCAACCTTTTTCTTATGCTTTCTTTTTAAATTCTTGTTAATCTTGCTTGCCTCCCCATTCTAGGCTCTGGGTCTTGCCTACCACCGACTTGGCATGTTTACAGCTGCTATTAAGGCAAGCCGGTTACCTTTCATCATCTTAATTTATTTCATCTTATTATCTAAATACTCAAAGAATGAACCTTTTAACTTGTTTATCGTGTGGGAACTAGCAGGCATCTTTTTGAGCTAAATAAACATAAATGCAGATACACAAATCTAGCATGGTTTCCATATATTTTTTGTTTTTTTTTTTTGGGCAATCTTCAGAAAGTGAAATTAGGAAATGGATATGAACGCAACAAACATTCCATTTACCATTTTGCCATGCACTTAGACATGATAAACATCCTTTCATATTTTTTTGAAATTGTATCTAAACCGCCAGCATGTTAACCACAAACACGGCTCTTCTTTTTCTTTCTCTTTATACTTTTATCATCCTATGCTCTTCAGCTAATCAAATAGTACATTCATAGCTTTGTTTCTGTTTCTATGTTTAATCAATGGGTTCGTTACATTTTAATGCCATGAATGACAGTCCTATGGGCGTGCAATTGAATTGGATGACACTAGAGTTTTTGCTTTGGTTGAAAGTGGAAACATCCATTTGATGCTTGGTTCCTTTAGGAAGGTAAGGTTTTCCAGATTCAAATTTTCCAGTAATTATTCACTTGACATCTTTTCTCTTATTTATGTTACTCTCCATTGCACTTTTATTGCCTCACTCAATGATTTAAGTGATGAATATATTCAATCCTTTTCTGTTTAATTTAATTTTATTGTACAACTACAAACTAGAATAGAAAGTCTTAACACCAAACAAGTAATATGTATTGTTTGCTGGCAACTGATGTAGATGTTTTTATGTTGGATCACACACGTACTTCTATAGTTCTATCATTGTATCTATTGGCGATTAGTTCGGATTATATGAGTGAAGCGTTACTGTTAAATTCTCTACTTTGAGTCATCGTGGAACAACCAGTAGGACCTGCAAGCTTTAATCATGCTTATCTCTATTCTGAGTTTGTCCTTCCTATTTATTTGCTTGTATTATGAAGAATCATGTACCATGGTTGATACTGTGGTCTTTCTTTCCTAAGGGGGTTGAGCAATTTCAGCAAGCACTAAAGATATCTCCTCAGAGTGTGTCTGCACAGTATGGGCTTGCTTCTGGACTACTTGGTCTGTCTAAAGAGTGTATTAGCTTGGGTGCTTTTAAATGGGGAGCTTCACTGTTAGAGGTTAGCATCTCAATTGTGAATGGTTTGCCTCTTTTTACCAAACAACAGACGAGATTTAGTTGTTTGATTCTTGATGATTGCAGGAGGCATGCAAAGTAGCAAAGGCAAGTACCCGGTTATCTGGAAATTTATCATGTATTTGGAAGTTGCTTGGTGATATTCAGGTATGATCATCTAGAATTTTGCAAATTGGATATCTATTTTTCTGATGATTATCATTATAGTTTGACCAATGTGTGGATATATAGTTCCGTTTTCCTGACCCTCTTTTTAAAGTTTATTCCATGGGTATATTCACTATCTTTGTTGATAGCCTTTATTTGCTCTGACATGACTGATTCCTAAATGGAATTGTGTTTCCTTCCTGGTTAGCTTACATATGCACAATTTTATCCATGGGCGGAGGAGAGCATGAGTTCAAAATATGATGAGGAAACTTTCAGCAATTCCATCCTTTCCTGGAAGAGGTGCTGCCTTATGGCTGTTATCTCTGCCAGAAATTCTTATCAGCGAGCCCTGAACTTGGCCCCATGGCAAGCTAACATCTATGCTGACATTGCAATAACTTCAGATCTCATTTCTTCTTTGAATGGGGATCACGAATACATTCAAAATGCTTGGTAATATATTTTTCTGTTTGCTTCTTGTTCAAACATCCCATCTTGCAAAAAATAAAAAATAAAAATCCATTTTATCTTGCAAGAGCTTTCTGTTTTCAAATGCTATCATTTTATCAGGCAGCTACCAGAGAAGATGGCTTTGGGTGCTTTGTTACTTGAGGGTGACAATTCTGAGTTCTGGATAGTACTGGGTTGCCTGTGTAATAATCAAGCACTGAGACAGCATGCCTTTATCAGGGGACTGCAATTGGATGTTTCATTAGCTATTGCTTGGGCAAACCTTGGCAAGGTACTATCTAACTTTAAGGTCATCTTTGATTGGAGGAATGAATTTTGTTTGGTCAAGCTTTAAAAACAAGGCAAAATTGAGAAACTTACTTGACAAACTAGGAATGGTCCAAATGGATAGGGATTAGGGTTTATCATTTTCCTCTAAATTAGGGGATAAGCAAGGAATAAGTATTATTGCCTTTTCCCTAACCTAAGAATGGCTATTCCTTGCTTTTCTCTGATCTAAAAGAAAATGTTAAAACCTTAATCCTCTCCATTCCCAACTTGTCAAGTAAGTTTCTTATTTTTGACTTATGAATACCCAATTATGCATTCCTCCAACCAAACAAACCCTAAGAATTCCTTTTCCCTTGGTTTGTATTTTTTGGAGTTTTCTCGTCAAGTAAGTTTTGTACTGAATTTGTTGAAAAATAATTCCTACGTGTAGACTATGTATTTTGGGAAGAATGTTCTTGGCATCATGTTCATGTTGTATTTGATGGATAGTTACTGGAGTCTCTTATGTATTGTAGGTCATTGTTAGTATGCCTATTTTTTTGGCCACTGTTAGTTTGTGTATTTGAAACTGGATTCCTTTGCTCTCACAGTCCCACAACTTTTGTTAGATTTGCCTTGAACATCCTGTTTGTATGGAGAAAGAGGTAAAGTTACAAATTAGAGGGTGGACTGAAAATGGGCCATGGATTATGCTTTAGATTGCAGTCTAAAATTCTATAATCAGCTTAGGACTAGCAAGCAATATTGAGGCAATATTGAGTTTTTGATTTTCCTTTATTGAATGGTAGAAATAAATATTAATAGCCATCTTTGACAGCTTTATAGAGAAGAGGATGAGAAGAAATTGGCAAGGCAAGCATTTGACTGTGCTAGAAGTATAGATCCTTCACTGGCACTACCATGGGCAGGCATGTCAGCTGATGCAGATGTTAGGTGACTTTAATTTATCAGTAATAATGTAAATGGTTTTAATATTTGTTGCTTAGAAGAGTTGTCAAAATTCAGACAGATAATTTTTTTAGGGAGTCAACACTGGATGAGGCTTTTGAGAGCTGTCTGCGAGCAGTGCAGATATTACCTGTAAGTTTCACAACCATTTATTTTCTTCCAAAAGTTTCATTACAAGGAAACTGTCTTCTAAAGTATTTATTCAATTTACATAAACCTTTGACTTATGTGCAGCTTGCAGAGTTCCAAATTGGTCTTGCTAAGTTTGCTCTGCTTTCAGGGCACCTTTTATCCTCACAGGTATGACTGTTAAAAATGAAAGTCAGGGTCATCTTCTTCAGAAGAATCCTACCCTTTCTTCAGTCTCTTAGGAAGCAAGACTTAGAACTAATGAAGGACACAAACAATATTTCTATTTGATAGTTTGAGTATTCTGTCTGTCACAGGTATTTGGAGCTGTCCAGCAGGCAGTGCAACGTACACCTCATTATCCCGAATCCCACAATTTAAATGGGCTAGTACATGAGGCTCGGTTTGAGTATCAGGCTGCTGTTTCTTCTTATAGGCTAGCACGCTTTGCCATCAGTATTTCTTCAAGCACTGACCCAAAGTCTCATTTGCAAGACATATGTATTAATTTGGCCAGGTCTCTTTGTAGGGTAGACATCTCTGTTCTTCACCCTGATTAACTGTGTATTTGAGGCCTATGTTGATATATATTTTTAAATTGACCTTCTTGTCATGTGGTATTATAATACATGATATGTTCTATTTACCTTTTCCTTTCTGAAGTAAATGCTTATGTTTTGGAGCAGGCAGGCAATGCAATAGATGCTGTGCAAGAATGTGAAGACCTGAAGGAAAAAGGTTTGGCATCTCTTTATATCTTGAATGTGGTTGAACTTGTAAAGTGTGATAATTTTTTGGGTTTTGTATGGTTTAAGGTCTGCTTGATGCAGAAGGGTTGCAAATATATGCTTTCTCTTTGTGGCAACTGGGTAAACATGAGTTGGCCATCTCTGTCACGAGAACTCTGGCCGCCAGTGTTTCTACCATGGACCGGACAGCTGCAGGTGCATCTGTTAGTTTCATCTGTAGATTGCTGTATTACATTTCTGGACTGGATTCAGCAATTAATAGCATCCTGAAAATGCCAAAGGAGCTTTTCCAGAGTTCAAAAATTAGCTTTGTTGTGTCTGCCATCCATGCCCTTGACCAGAGTAATCGGCTAGAATCAGTTGTTTCAAGTAGTCGTTACTATCTTTCATCTCATGAGGAGATTACTGGAATGCACTATCTAATAGCACTTAATAAACTAGTAAGTTTCTGCGATTGAAACTCAATCCTCTGCCTTTTATATTTGAGTTCTGAGTCTTGTATAACTTTAGGGCATGTTCATTTTAAGCTTTTTAAGTCTTTGGGTCATGCAGATAAAACATGGGCTGGAAGACCATCTTGGATTTCAGAGTGCAGTTGGCCATCTAAGAAAAGCTCTTCACATGTACCCTAACAGTGTTTTGATAAGGTACATTTCATTTCTAATATCTTTTCTAACAGTTTCTACTGACAGTGAGGAGTTGGATGAACTGATGAAGTTAGATTAGTGACAGTGGATTGATAGTCTGTGAATTTAGTTAATTTTGAATTGTAATTTATAGTTAGTGGTGCCACTTAGCTCATTTCTGCCTAAATAATTCTTGGAATTATAGTTTATGTCA